AATTAATTCTCTTAAATCCCAATAATATCTTCCTGGAGACTTAAGGGAGGGGACCATCTGCCTTGAAAAACAACAAATAAACCATTCTCTGAAAGAATCTAATAATCTTATTATTTTCTTGTCTCAACAGAATCTAATCATAGCACCAGAATTTGGATAAGGACATACAACATTCAAAGGAAATAAAGACAGATCCTAGGGTAAACATTAATTTGGAGAGGCAATTAAGAAAGTCAGGTTTTGTTGATACTTTCCCTACTGGCTGCAACTTGTTACTGAATTCACATTCAAAACACATATAAAATCTTACCTATTTCTATATTTAGTGCATCATTAATTTTGGCTAGCTGCATTTAGTATATAATTAATTTTGTGGAATGTGTTCTATAAGTAGGAATGCAGTAATATAGATATAGATAGACATAGCTAGAGTCTGAACATATACAAAGTGCCAGGAAAGGTGCAAAATATTGCATTGGAATAAATGGATGAAGCCTTGTCTTTCTCAGAGCATATAAATAATAAGAGACACAAATAAATACAAAAATCTGTAAAGATGCTCACTGGTGGCAGTGACCAAATGAACTCTGTAGTGTTGAGGGGACAATGGATGACAAGGATTCCATTAGGTGGAATGGCAGGTCAGGAAAGTTCTCTCTGAAGAGAGAAATAAGGTCTAGGCAAGAACTTGGGAAGGAAAGAAGCAGCACACAGTTGTCAGCTGCAGAAGAGAAATACAGGCAGAGTGGATGGGAAGGGCAAACATCTCTAGGAGGGAGTGGGCTTTCTGTTCTGAGTGTGCCTGAAGGTTAGGAAAAGAGAATAGTCAGGCTTCACAGTGTTCATGGATATAACTGAGGGTCTTTGGCTTTTATTCCAAGCTAAATTAAAGTCATAGACTCTGAGGGATTATGGGAAAGGAGCTGGGGAGGGAGACTGGGGATTTCTCTATTTGAATTATCTTCATATTTGGACAACTTATTTATTTATTTTTGTGTATATTCGTGTGTGTGTGTGTGTGTGTGTGTGTGTGTGTGTGTGTCTGTGTGTGTCTGTGTGTCTGTGTCTGTGTCTGTGTGTCTGTGTGTGTCTGTGTTTTTGCCTTTAGATACCAAAATTCAATAGCATTCTAGTCCTCGAGTGTTCTTTGTCTACTTGTTTCTGGAAATATCTCTCAAATCCTGTGGCTCCAGTGGGTGGCTAAAAATCCCCAGTGGATCTCCTATCTCCATTTCTCTAGTGCTCGGAGTAAAACTGCATCCTACCACTATTGCCACTTTTGCATGGGTTCTGGGAACTGAACACAAGTCCTCATGCATACACAGCAAGCATTTCACTGATTGGGCATCCTATTCATCCCCCTTTAACAATATTTTATTCAAGTAAAACTTGTGTGAACTGTGTGATTCCTGCACCATGTCTTATCAACATTTCTGACTATTCTCTGGAGTAGTTCCTAGTTTAGTTAACCTTTTCATCCTTGAGCATGTTTAGGTGCCAGTGTCCCCTCCCACGAAACACTATGGATGTTCTCTCTGTCTTGTCTAGTCAAATTTAATACCATACATGTTATCTTTCACCTTGTAAGAAATCCCCAAGACTTACTGGGCAAATGAAATTAATGGCTACTTAACCAGAATACTAAAAATCTTAGTGCTGAGATAGTCATATAGGCTTTCTCTAAGAAGACTGTCAAAGAAAAACAGAATTCTTTTTTTTTAACATTTTTTGTTTTGTTTTGTTTTTTCCATTTTTTAATTTGAATTAGAAACAAGATTATTTTACATGTCTATCAGTTTCCTCTCCCTCTCCTCCTCCCCTGTCACCCCCCCCCCAACTAAAACCCTACCTCTCCCATACCCTTTCTGCTCCCCAGGGAGGGTGAGGCCTTCCATATGGGGTCTTCAGAGTCTGTCATATCCTTTGGGATAGGGCCTAGGCCCACCTCTCTGTGTCTTGGCTCATGGAGTATCCCTCTATATGGAATGGGCTCCCAAAGTGCATTCCTATGCTAGGGATAAGTACTGATCTACTACAAGAGACTCCATGGATTTCCAAGGTCTCCTCTCTGACACCCACGTTCATGGTGTCTGGATCAGTCTTATGCTGGTTTCCCAGCTATCAGTCTGGAGACCAAATGCTCCCCCTTGTTCAGGTCAGCTGTTTCTGTGGGTTTCATCAGCCTGGTCTGGACCCCTTTGCTCATCACTCCACCTTCTCTGCAATTGGATCCAGTTCAGTTCAGTGTTTAGCTGTGGGTGTCTGCTTCTACTTCCACCAGCTGCTGGATGAAGGCTATAGGATAGCATATAAGACAGTCATCAATCTCATTATCAGGGGAGGACATTTAAGGTAGCCTCTCCTCTGTTGCTAGATTGTTAGTTGGTGTCATCCTTGTAGATCTCCAGACAGGAAAACAGAATTCAAATCCATGTTGCTTATTGACACAAAAGTCACCCCTCTGAAGGTGACAGAGGGTACACTCTGCTCATGTCTTTTCCCAGATAATCTCTGGCTGCATTCCCACAAGGCAAACAAGAAAACAGAGCTGCCAAGTCCCAGCTCTGCCCGCATGTATTACCCAGTCCACTTACTCATCCAGTTTCTGACGTTCAAGAAGCTCTGTTGACTGGTGAGGTCAAACATTAACAGGAAGCCCATGCAATCTCGAAAAAAGGCAGGGGTGAGACTCCGGACCCTGCCAATGAAACACAGAGTCTGGGTCTCAGACACAAACTCACACTCATAGGACAGACAACACTGTTTCTCACACACACACATTCTGTCTCCAGGGCAAGCCCTTATCTTACTCTAGGGACATGTGAGACTAGGCCAGAAGATGGCTGCCAGGCAATGAGAGGAGATCTGTTTGAAGATTATTTTTTAAAGACCAGTTTTAGGGTCTATGGTGGCATGGCACTGATAGAGTTCCATGTAATCACCAACTTTCAACTACAGCCTCTTGGAACCTTTTTTGTTTCTGACTTATGGCTTCCTCTGGGGCACAATTAAAATCTTAGCCCATTTATAGTGGACTTGAACTTAGTCTTTTCAAATTTTCTTGTCTGTGCACAGAAGAAAAGCAGGCCTATAATTAGGCTGAGAATGAGCACCTCTGTGAGCATGCAAGGCACATCACAGTGCAGAACTAGAAGGGCTGATGAACTCTTTTTAAAGCATCCTTTGGGGTGAAACTCTCCCTCGTGTGTGTGTGTGTGTGTGTGTGTGTGTGTGTGTGTGTGTATTATGAGGAAGAGGGCTTTGATTGGGGGCCTAAAGAAGGACAAAGGAGAAACTCAGGAGGCAGGAAAAGAAAGTGAGAATATTCATTCACAATGAAGAATGCTGGAACTTTCCTATTAGACAAATGCTAAGATGCACTCT